TATATATATATATATATATATATATATATGCGTTTCTTCGAGTAGTTTCTTCCTCAAGACGTGTATATATATATATATACATATATATATATTTTTATGCTTTTCTTCGAATAGTTTCTTCCTTAAAGACATATATATATCTATATATATTTTTATGCATTNTCGAGTAATTTCTTCCTCAAAGAGGAAATATATATATATATATATTTATATGTATTTCTTCGAGTAGTTTCTTCTTCAAAGACGTATATATACATATATATATTTATATGTATTTTTTCGAGTAATTGCTTCCTCAAAGACGTGTATATATATACATTTCTTCGAATAATTTCTTCCTCAAAAACGTATATATATATATATATATTTTTTTTTTTTTCGAGTAATTTCTTCCTCAAAGATGTGTATATATATGCATTTCTTCGAATAATTTCTTCCTCAAAAACGTATATATATATATATATTCATTTCTTCGAGTAGATTCTTCTTCAAAATCTTTCGATCGATTTTTCGTTCGGGACAGTGTTTAATTTATTTATTCCGTGGAATTTTATCTAATTTCTTCGAGTTGTTTTTCGATTGAAATAAATTGGAAAGGATCGTTTAAGGAAGTTTCGAAGTTTTCAATCGTTTATGCGTGTTTTTTTTTCCCTCTCTCCGTTTAACTTGGAGTTTAATTTGAAATTAAAATTTTACGCCGTCTTCACGTTTCTGTCGATTAATAATTTCGTTGGTTAATTCCGGTTGATTCCGAAAGCGCGCAGAAAAGGAGGGATTAATTTATTACCAGAGGAATCTTTATTCAATTTTCTGGTAATCTATTTTAGGGGAGGGAACAGTAAATTAAAACGATCTTGACGAAAGAGTTAAGAGTTGTAATCGGTTAAACGCATTTTCTTCTCGTCTTTCTCCCCCTCTTCTCCTTCATTTTTTCTCAAGGAAATCTTTCCACGAAGATTTTCAAAACTCGAATAATCGAAATTCATCATCAGAAGAATTTGAAAGTGATTGGCCAATTTTATTAAATTAAATTAAGACGATTATTGTTGCAGATATTTAATTCGCATCTTTTCTCTAAATTGTCATTGGAAAAGAGAGAAAAAGAAAAGGGAAATGTTTTATTTTATTAAAAGATAACGACACGTTGGATGAAATGGCTGCAGGACAACGAGAAACATTAAATAAAGTTTCGAAATAATTTATAATTAAATTCGATTAACGATTAAAATCCTTGAAAATATTTGATTCGCTTCTTTTTTTCAGGCTTAAAATTAAAAGAGAAAGAAGGAAAGAGAATTCGAAGAAATTCACAAAAAATACAGATATGTCCTCCAGAAATGTGAAAAGTTAACATTTCAAAATAAATTCTACAATTAAATCCAATTAATTATTAAAATCCTTGCAAATATATTTAAATTATAAATTCACACGTTTCTAGCTTCTATCAAAATTAAAAAAGGAAAAAATAAAAAATAAGAAGAAAAGAAAAGAAAATTAGGAGAAACTCACGTTGCAAAAGATACACTCTTCCATAAATATCTCGTCATTAAAAGCTAAAGAATTGCTTCAACATTTGAAGATAATCTAATCAAATCCAATAAAGAAGAAAATAAAATTATAAATTCGCATCTTTCTAGCCTCTATCAAGATGAAAAGAAAAAAAGAAAAGAAAAGAAAAGGAAAAAGATACACCCTTCCAGAAATATCTTGTCATTAAAAGTTATAAGAATTATTTCAAAATTTCAAAATAATCTAATCAAATCCAATAAAGAACAAAATAAAATTATTATAAAATTTGCACCTTTCTAGCCTCTATCAAGATTGAAAGAAAAAAAGAAAAGAAAAAGATACACCCTTCCAGAAATATCTTGTCATTAAAAGTTACAAGAATTGCTTCAATATTTCAAAATAATCTAATCAAATTCAATAAAGAAGAGAATAAAATCATAAATTTGCACCTTTTTAGCCTCCATCAAAATTAAAAAAGAAAAAGAAAAGAAAAGAAAAGAAAAAGATACACCCTTCCAGAAATATCTTGTCATTAAAAGTTACAAGAATTGCTTCAATATTTCAAAATAATCTAATCAAATTCAATAAAGAAGAGAATAAAATCATAAATTTGCACCTTTTTAGCCTCCATCAAAATTAAAAAAGAAAAAGAAAAGAAAAGAAAAGAAAAAGATACACCCTTCCAGAAATATCTTGTCATTAAAAGTTACAAGAATTGCTTCAATATTTCAAAATAATCTAATCAAATTCAATAAAGAAGAGAATAAAATCATAAATTTGCACATTTCTATCAAGATTAAAAGAGAAAAAGAGAAGAAAAGAAAAGAAAAAGATCTAATCAAATCTAACGAATAAAATCATAAGAAAAGAAAAGAAAAGGAAAAAGATAGATCCTTTCACAAATTCCTTGTCATTAAAAAAACTTCAATATTTCAAAATAATCTAATCAAAGCCAACGAATAAAATCATAAATTCGCACGTTTCTATCAAAATTAAAAGAGAAAAAGAAAACAAAAGAAAAGAAAAAAGATACATCCAGAAATCTTCGAGAAATATGTTATCATTAAAAGCCACAGGAATAACAACAATTGTTGAATAAAATAGACGGTTCGACAACGAGAACCACTAACACTTTAACATAATCTACGATTAAAACCATAAATTAAATTTCTAGCCTCCATCAAGATTAAAAGAGAAAAAGAAAAGAAAAGAATACACGTCTTATTATTAAAAGCTACGAGAAACCGTTTCAACATTTCAAAATAATCTAATCAAATCGAACAAAGAAGAGAATAAAACCATAAATTCGCACAATTTCTAGCCTCTATAAAGATTAAAAGAAAGAGAAAAAAGAAGAAGAAGAAGAAAAAAAGAAAAGAAAATTCGAAGAAATTCACATTGCAAAATATACACCCTTTCAGAAATATTTTATTATCAAAAGCCGCACAAAGATACGTTGGAATAAGATGGACGGCTCGACAACGAGAACCACTAACCGTTATGCAACTTCCAATAACATCAGCCCGAATTCATCACCATATTTCCGACTCTTTCTCTCTCTATCTCCATCTCCCTCCCTCTTCCTTTCCGCGCGAATCTCGCCGGTAGCATCGTCTTTTAAATAAATCAGCACCACTTTCACCGAACACGGCCAACGAGGGATGGAAGAGGAAGAAGGCTGAACACGACTACCGAGCGAAGGAAGGAAAAAAAAAGAGAGAGAAAAAGAGGAAAAAGGAGAAAAAGAAGGAGAAGAAGATAGCTGGCGGCTCGAGAGAACGTTGGAGACACACTTTCTTCACCGTAGAGGGGAGGAATAGGTTGGCGACATTATCGCGGTTCAGCCGATAAAAAGGATCCGCGTTGAAACATCCTTCCCGACGGAGGAAGTCGGGAAGGATTTAAAGCGAGGGGACTCGATCGAAGAGGGGAAGAGGAGAGATTGATTTAATTTCGTAAGTGCCTTCGAGAGAGAGAAATCTCCTCTCCTCTTCCCTTGAATTTGTAACGAAAGGAAACGGAAAATCCGTCTCCGATTTCAACTTTACAATGAACAACGAGAGCTCGAAGCGCGAGATTTCAATGCGAATTTTGAATAGAATCGAGAGATCCGATCCTTTTCTTGTAATTTCGAGTTATACGTAGAATTCCGGTTGATTTGCCGATTTTTTGTCGAGTGAGAGTTTGTTACCTCGAAAAAGTGTCGCAACGAGTTTCGAGAGAAGAGAAGAAGAGAGAGAGGAGAGAAAAGAGAAGAGAGAGGAGAGAAGAGAGAGAAGAAAGAGAAGAGAGAAGAGAAAGGAGAGAGGAGAGAAGAGGAGAGAAAAGAAGAGAGAAGAGAAAAGAGAAGAAAGGAGAGAGGAGAGAGAAGAGAGAGAAAAGAGAGAAGAGAGAGGAGAGAAAAGAGAAGAGAGAAAAGGAGAGAAGAGGAGAGAGGAGAGAAGAAAGGAAAGAAAAAAAAGAGAGAAGAGAAGAGAGAAGAGAGAAGAGAGAGAAGAGAAAAGAGAAGAGAAGAAAGAAGAGAGAAGAGAGAAAAGGAGAGAAGAAGAGAGAAGAAAAGAAAGGAAAGAAAAAAGAGGAGAGAAGAGAGAAAAAGAGAAAAGAGAAGAAAGAAAAGAAAAAAGAAGAGGAGAGAAGAGAAGAGAGAGGAGAGAGAAAAGAGAGAGAAGAGAGAAGGTATCGAAAGGGATGTTGTCTCAAGACGAGCAACGAATCTATTCGAATCCAATATATCGAGCGGTGGTTACTTTCTCACTGCTTCTAAAAAATACCGAAAGGTATTCTTCTGGTTTTACGTACGCGTATAATTCCCCCCCGAGGGAGGAGGCTACGCTACTTTCGAAGAAAATACTTTTGCGTGAAGATGGCAATCGATTGACATCAACGCCATCTTGAACGAGGAAATAAAATTAGAAATATAATTGAAAGTCCATTTTATTCCTTTCTCTCTCTCTTTCCACGAAGGAGGAGGGGAAGAGAATTAATAATAGAAAGATAGAATAGAGGGGATGATCCCTCTCGATCCGATCCGAGAAGCGAATCTTTCTCCCTATTGTGCTTTATGCAAATGTCACGCTCGATACACGTAATACGTTCCCATTTCCGTCCTGTTTTCAACCACGCGCGCACGCAAACTCGAACCTCGTGGAAACCTCGTTTCTTGCCAGGATCGTTTCACGCCGGGGGAATTGATGCCAGCGCATGAGAGAGAGAGAGAGAGGGAGAAAGAGAGGGAGAGAGGAAGAGGGAGAGTGTTTAAACAAACGGATTCCGCATCCGGTCGGTCGGTGCGAACCGCCACGGTTCGTAGCGTTTCAAACCACGGTCCCCGATTGTTTCCCCGGATTAAACGTGCGTGAAAAAGGGAAATTCCAACCGAAGAAAACCCCACTCCCGCGGCTTTGTACCACCGATTAATTTTAAACGGGCTTCAAAAGCATCGCTTTTCAGTTTCAACGAAAATAGAGAGGAGGGAGAAAGGGGGGGGGGGTCTCATTTTGTTTTACCTCCTCCTCCTCCCAGCCGCCGCAACTTCGAATAAAAAAGACAGAGGTTGCTCTCGTATTCGCGAGAGAAACAATCCCTCCAAATTTTCTATCTATCTACCTATCTTTTTTCTTTTTCTTTTTCCATATCTTTTACGCTTTTATCTTTTATCTTTTTCTCTAGGCGAATTATTCTCAGACGGCATCTCGAACTAAAATTATCAAGTACGGAAAAAAAAAAAAAAAGAAATAATTAAAATCCCGTGGAAGAAGTATTCGCCACGGAATCTTTTTTCAACCGTTTGTATTCTTTTGGACCTCATTTTCGATGAGCGAAGACGATTTTGCTCACACGTGACGATATGCGTTGTTACAGGTAACGTAACAAATGATTTTTATCATATGTTTCCTAAGAAAAGAGAAATAAAAATTCCAAGAAACATTATTCACAGATCGATGCTCAATGCCTTCATTGATCGAGGATTATAGGATTGATCCAGTTGCCACATAAAATGATCATAACGACCGAAAATCGCATCTGATTAGAACGCAAAAGTTAGCAATAATAAGAAAAGTTAATAATAATAATAATAATAATAATAATAATTAATCACTGTCCCAGAACGTTGTAATCGCGTATTATCAAATACTCTCGCTACTACTATCGTTGATAAAATTAATTGTTCAGCGTTTCAGAAGTGTATCTATGCGAGAATACGGGGCCACCTATGACGGTGAGCGATGTCATCGATGAGCGGCGGGTCGATGAGAGCGCCGCGATCGAGTAAACCGAGTATCGTCGAGTATCCCTCCTTCTCTCCTTCCTTCCTTTCTTCCTCACTTCGCTTACGCGCGAACACGATACGTTAATTCCGCTCTTTAACGACTCTTTAACGGGAGCCCACCACGAGGGAGAGAATAAAAAAAAAAAAAAAAAAAAAAAGAAAGAGGTTCACTCGCCTACTACTTCCGGTTTCGTTCCCGTTTCCGGCCTCGAAGGCGAATGCGCGTCGATTTCCTCGCTCCTTCCTTTCTTTTTTTTCCATTCGACTCGACTCGACTCGACTCGACTCGACTCGACTCGACTCGATTCCGCGAGTTTGTCGAGGAGAAATTGCAGGGAAGGGGATATATTTGATTATCCGGCCACGAGGTATCTTACGACTTATCTCGTGTTGTTCATCAAAACTTTGCGCGACCAGCTTTTACGAGCTCTCCCCCCTCTCTTTAAACATAGTTCGAGAGTTACTAACGTATTTCCCCTCCGTTTCTCGCGTTTTTTCTCCTCGAAAACGTTTTCTTTCCGATGAATATTATATATCTTCTCTTTCTTTTACCTTCTCTCCCTCTCTTTTATTCTCCAATATTGCTTATTTTTCTAAGCGTATCCGTGGAGGGGAGGAAGAGATAAGACGGTCATTCGAGAATTAACGATCTCTTTCTCGAGCTCGATTCGAAGAAAAAGATATTAGAGTTGAGCATATATATATTATTTTTATTATTATTGCAGTAATTTAATTCAAGGTTGTTCGAAAAAAATTAAAATAAAGATAATCCACGCGAGGTAAAGTTTTCGAGCTCCAAGATAAGTTGATAATTAATAAATAATTATCGAAATATACATATATATATATATATATATATTATCCAAAAATATCCAAAAGTCTCTCAACCGTGCAGAGTTATTTTTCCAGGTGTAGAATCGAGGTGAGAGCGGCTCTCGAGAGAATGACTTTCCCAGTTGAGAACGAGTCTCTCTCGTTAGAGGCGGCTCGAAATCTCCCTATCCAATTCGCATCTGGTCGCCGGCCAGATTCGATTAGAATGTAACAAGGATCTCGAAGGCAAAGTGAAACGTGCCGTTTCGAAGTTCGTACGGAAGAAAAGTTTGAACAGGCTTCC